TACTTAGTGGTATATTAATACAATGTGTTAGAAGACAGAAGTTAAAAGAAATAGCAAGATAGTGATCGATTGAAATACTTTTCTAATACTGAAAGTAATTTTGGAATAGGCAAATATAAAAACCAAATTCGAGGGTAGCGAGAAACAAAAAATTTGGTGGGTGGCCTGGATAAATTTTAAACTCCCGGCCTGGATTTGGTTCCCACTCTGCCCCTGCCAACAGGTAGGTCATTAATGACTATATTATTATGTTTTACTGTGAGGGATCTGTCACAATGGCTGCAGTAGGGTTGTTTTACTTTTTTTATTACAAGCATATAGGTACTACGGGTGAGTTTGATGTGTCCAATTCTAGTTCTTATGGTTATTCATCGCTGTCATCATAATATTATATTTATTAGATATACGCAAATTTAGTAAATAGGCTAAAATTAGGTAGGTACCATATTATATAATATTATGTAACATAAACAATGCTCACTCGGTGAAACCAAATATACCATTTAACAAAAAACAGAATATTTTTCAATGTTACAATTTTTAAAAGGGGGAAGAGGAATAGTAATCGATCTGATATTCTGATGTACACTAGTTGTCATGTGTAACTCGTAATTGAGTAAGTCATAGTGATAAGAGTATGTGTTAAATTTAATTTCAATGATAAATCATTGCATTCGAAACACGGTTCTGAGCGAAGATGGTTCGTCAGATAACTTACCCCAAATGGCCAAATGTAGCCATGTAGGTACCGATGTCCTATAACTACTATTATAGATGTCCTATTCCTATACCTACATATGCATTAATATATTATATTATTTATTTGACGTACCCATATATTATATAAATATCATAATAGGTACATAATCTCGGAGATGTTTCTATATTACTATAATATATTATTATATATAGTAAATCGCTTATTTAGTTCGTTACCACGTGATAACAAACAAACTATTTAAATACCCAAGAAAATAGCTAAAACACTTGTACGGCCATTGTCGTGATATAGAGATGTTTCGGTTAAATAAGCTACCCGACAGCCAATATCCTCTGAAGCTGCTGATAGTAAGAGTGTAAGTGTTGTCGGCGAGTTAGATTAGACCCGGGCATCTCTTTTTCACATTTTATCTTCTTTACGTTTTTTCTAATGGCTATTCAATCCGTTCTAAGCGAAACTAATCGATTTTAATCAACAAATATTTAAACGTCTTGGTTCGATCCCCGGCCGATAGCAAAATTTTTTATTTATTTTATTATTTTTTTCATCGATTTCCATAAAATAATACATGCACGTAAAGCATGCTCACTAGTCATTTTATTTGTTAAGCATTATTGATTTTCATCCATAATACGACAAGCCGTTTTATGTTTATTTTATAAGCAGAGGTTAATGCGTTTATAGTTTAGGTGAACAATCGTGGAGTGGAGCTATACAGCAAGACTTTAACGCTCGTTTGAACTTGGTGCGACCAGATGGAATTATAAATTATTTTATTTGTTCTAAAATAGTTCAAACTGTATTATACAATTTAATATAATTATGTAGGTAGGTACAAAAACCTTTTGCTCTTGAAAAACACAAACAAATTTGCAAGTCTACTCGGGAAATGAGTGAAGCCAGGCGCACAGATAAAATCGGATCATCTCGTGTGGCGTATACAATACTACAATAGTCAATGATACGAGTACATAATAATATGCCAGTAGCACAATATACCTTTATATACTATATAATATAATACCACCGACAGTGTAGGTAAGTATATGTATATATATATACATACATAATACATAATATGTGTATGTGTGGTTTTTCTTTCTCCTCTCGTCAATATAATATATAATTATTTTATAATTTTATTATATAAAGTAATAATAGTGGTGACACGTGCAGCATGCGAGTAAGTAAAATTACAGACGTACATATCCCGATATCCGGTCACCATGATGCCCCTATGAAACTTGATCGGTACTACGAATTACACACACTAATGTCCATTTACTTTCAACACGTCATTCACAAGATCCAAATAACTCGAAATATAAAATGTCTAGTTTTTACTCCTTGTATTACCCACCAGCCCCTTTAATGGCGAGGCGGTTGAACCGATAAACACTTCGATATAGACGGATCTGCGTGCGCAGCCAAGTATAATATTAGTATTTGTGTTTAGATCGAATGGATTATGTTCCAGCCCCCTTAAAAGAAATCAATGCATGAAACAAAATATATAAAACAGTTTTATAACCAAAGCTATGGTCCCCCCCCCCCAAACACCGCATTAAACACCATATTAAAATTTGTTTTGTGAAATTGAATTTTGGTAATTAATGAATGAAGGTAGGAACATTTGAACGATTATTAACGATTTTTCATAGACGTACTTGTTTTGATAAATATCTGTATAATTTGTATTAATTCTGTATTAATTCCAATTGAAAAGCAATTGGCGGCTTTCTTTACCTGTTCTTAAAGAGCCCTACAGTAGTACATAGTACATACCCACTCGCTTTATTATCATAGATTTTTTAGAAGTCGATGTTCATTACGTCCCCCCCCCCCGACCTACCGAACAAGCTTACCGATAACCGTAAACGCCCCGACACCCGTCACCCGCCCGTCAATTATTCGTTTCCAGTCCGTCGTATCTACGAATTGAATTTTGGTCTATTTTTAAAACTGATGGGGTTATACCTTAGATCATATACTAGTATATGATCTAAGGGTTATACACTAAATATATCGAATTTTGGTATGTCGACGTAGAGTGCGCGACGCATCATCGTGAAATCGTTGTTGACAATAACGAGAACGTAATAATATTACTATCGTAAGACTATTGTAGTTGGTCATTAGTCATATCACGCGGCAGTTTAAAAACCGTCCGATCGTCGTTTATATGACGAAAAAGCTGTTTACTTCGTCATGATCGTTTACATAATATTATTATTCTATGTGTTCAACACGTCTGTGGCGGCTCCAGCAGCAGCTGATTTCATTCATTTTCATCATTTCCACCAATTTATCACTAGTCAAGGCACGACTAACATAGCCATAATTATACATATTTTAGGAAGCTGGGCGGTTATAAGTATATGATATAGGTAATATGCAATACAAATACAAATTACACAATTTTCTAATAATTATGTAATACTAATTTTTTAATCCTTTTTTAAAAAAAATATTGACAATTTCATGTATTTTTATATATTTTAATGTCATCTTACTGTGAATTTAACATCAAAGCAAGTTCCGACAATTTAACATTTCCTTGTTGATTCCACAAAAACGATTTCAATCAACCGGCTAAATTAATCATGGTGAAAAACTGTAAACAGTGTAGATATACTCAAAATGCTTTGATTGAACTTGCAATTTCAGTATGGGCTCTGGCCAAGGGGGCCACCCCCCTATATACGCCACTGGTTACTGTTATTTGTCAGAATCTTTTTTATTGAATCATAATAATATAACACGTCCATTACCATTGCTTAGAAGGAACGCCCGTTCAAAGGAACTACCTAGTTCCAGTGATTTCGTTCAATTTTCATGAAATTCACGGGAACGTAGTTTCTTTTTTGTGCGTAGGAATATAATATTGGAATTTCGTTCATTCTTTAGATTTCACCTATTTGTTCTATTTTTTTGTTAATTTATTCTTAAGTAGGTATAGGGAATTTAAATAATTTTTGGAGCAAGTTTTTATAATTTTTTTTTTTTTAGAAATATCAATATAAATATTAAATTATAATGAGCTATTATATTAAACCAATAGGCAATAATATACCTCATTAAACGATAATATTGACGATATTATGTTTACAAAATGTCAAGTCAGTCATGGTGATCTTACAGGTTTTAACTTTTATGAAATAAGCAAATTAAACATTTTAAAACCAAAATAACTGCACATTTACCCGAGTAAACAATTTATTACTTCCTCTTAAAATTATTGATGAACGAGGAAAGGAACTAGTTTATTTAAGCCCGGAATGAGAAACGAAATGAACATGAACTAATAGGTACCATTTTTAAAGGAACTTTCCAAGCACTGCAGTCCATTACAGTGACATAATCTGCAATCACTAATCGCACTAAAACCAACTTACATACGTCATAGCGATTTAATCGTTGCTTTTTTATTAATTTAATTAATAGATCAGACGCTGCTTAGTGATATTTGGAATTTCTGATATATTTTACCTTACAGTTTTTGTTGTAGTACAAATTCTAAACTAATTTATGCTTTTAGTCATTCTTTGCCCATGTTAATTATTATATAATTTAATGTTTTAATGCATTATAATTAATCACTTGTAACTGTTGTCTGTTTCAAATGAATAAGAAGTACCAATCAAATATTTTATTTATAACTACTTACCTATACCCCGTTCCAAAAGAGAAAACACTATATTTAAGTAGCAAAACCGATTTCACCTGTGGCTGGCTGGTGTCTTCTTTTTTGGAACGGGGTATAATTATCTGTTTTATTTTCTATGAATTTTATTTATTAATTTTGATACATGCAGATTGTGTGAATTTCATACATTTTTTTTATTACTAATTATTTACAATGTTTGTTACTATTACTTAACTATATATTATTTTATTATTTTATTTTAGAATGAAATCATACTTGTTTCCAATCGTAAAATGTATTCAAGAACAACCAAAATTATGGATACACCTATAAGTGTTTATTCCTCAAATCAAACAATCAATGGTATGCATATTCGTAACCATTGTTTTATCTTTAATTTACTTATGTTATAAAATAAAATAAAAATGTATCTTAGGTGTATCAATTAATATACGTACAAATACATATTATATTTTGGAATCTTCTGGCTCGTTATATGCATTTTCAAAGAATAAGACAAAAACTTTATTAACAACGAGAAAAATATTAACAGACATTTCCTACGATTGGCTGAATCATCAGCTTTATATTTTAATACAAGCTAACATAACAACAGCGTACAGTATTAAAAAAATGGATTTGGAACATGAAATATTAGAAGAAATATTTTCTGGATTTGGTGCAATAACTCAGATTGAAGTGGATCCTTACAATGGGTAATATATTTTGATTACCTAATATTATTAGGAGTGTATGATTATTATTGTATTTATTTAATTTCGTTGATGACAGATTTTTATTTTGGACCTCGAAATTGGGACTGCATAGTTTTGATTTGACCGATTCTGAAAAGTCAAATATACTAATTTTAAAAAACCAAAATATCGGTCCATTTGTTATAAATTATATACAGTCATGTTTGTTTGTGATATTCCGAAAGCAAAACACAATAATGTCTGTTTCTTTGGATGGGTAAGTTTGAAAAAATAATGTATTAAAGATAAATATTTCCTGATGAAGGTGTTTATACATTTTCCTGTTGTTGATTTTTAAATCAATGTCTTCATTTTGGTGTATTACAGTCAGAAAGTAATAAATATTAGAAATAACACACATACAGCGCTATTTTCTGATGCTACATCTTTATTATATGTGAATGAATTATTTTATTGGTCAAATGGTTCTGTAATAATGAGAGAAGATTACTTTAGTGATGATCAAAAATACTATCAAACTATATATCCGGAAATTAATTTTAAAGTCAATTTATTAATATCTAATTTTATTGATCAACAACCAATACCGTCTCCTAGAAATCCCTCAAAGTCAAGTAAAGTATCACATAAGTTATTATTTTTCATTGAAACGACCTTATACAGTGGACATTGTAATTACATTTTTTTGACAACTTTAAAATTTAAAACTGATGTATATACTGTTTTAAATAATTTTAGAAAATCATTCGTTCATGTCCAAAGTGAAACATGAATTTAATGCAAAGAATCGTCATTTGTGGTACGAATATGGATCAGATGAACCATGGATAATATTAATATCAGGACTTGTGTTGATTTCCCTATTTTTGACCATGGCCATTAAGTATTGTATGTAATTTTGTTTGAAATTGTGAGTATTATTTTTAATTAATAAACCTTAATATATTTTATCATATAAGGGAGTGCTAAAAAGCCTAATATTATAAGGAAACTTAGAGAAATGCCACAATCTTTTGTACTTACTAATAATGTGGGTTATCAAAGAGCCGTGTTGTTTCAAAAAAGAGACAACAATGAATTGATCAGAATTAAACGTAAGCAAATAACACTAACAAAAAGATTGGGATCAGGAGCTTTTGGAGAAGTTTTTGAAGGAAATGTCAAAGATATAATAAATGAAAAAGTTGAATATTGTGTTGCGTTGAAATCATTAAATGGACGTACCAGTCAATATGTATTAGAAGAATTTTTAAAAGAAGCAAAAATAATGAATAATTTAAAACATAAAAATATTTTAAGAGTTTTTGGAGTATGTTTAGATAATGAACCTAATTTTATAATTATGGAACTTATGAAAGAAGGTGATTTATTGAGTTATTTAAGAAAAACCAGACCAACCCAAGTAAGATTAATATAATTATTATTATTATTATTATCAAAAAAAACCAATAAATAAAAACACATGTATCCATTATATTTATGCAGATATTAAATTGTATGGACTATATGAGAATGTGTATTGATGTAGCTGAAGGATGCTCATACCTTAAAAATATGCACCTTGTACACAGAGATCTTGCAGCACGTAATTGCCTGGTATCGTCTTCTGACCCTAAAGAGCAAGTTATAAAAATTGGTGATTTTGGATTGGCAAGAAAAATGTATGCACATTATTACCGAAAAGAAGGAGAAGCTTTACTGCCTGTTCGGTACTATCAATATCTGAAGTATATTTTGTGGAGGTATCTATATTTTATTTTTATCGTAGATGGATGTCACCAGAATCACTAGTGGATGGTGTCTATACCAGTCAATCCGATGTTTGGGCCTTTGGTGTCTTGTTATGGGAAATTATGTCTCAAGGTCATCAACCTTATCCAGGACTGTCTAATATAAATGCCATGAATTATGTTCAACACGGTGGAAGGCTTGAAAAACCAATAAACTGTCCAAAAACTTTGTAAATATACAATAACAATAAATTAGGAGATTTACCTAATGATTTATTTTTTAATTAATAGTTTTTTGTTTTATTTCAGATATAATTTGATGAAAAAATGTTGGCATGTCCATCCAGAAAAAAGGCCCACTTTTGAATTTTGTTTAAAATTCTTAAAATCATATTATATGGTCTTAGAATACATTAATAAGAGAGATACAGAACTACAGATTATTCCTGAATATTTAAATTTATAATATTGCAATCAATGTTACAACACAAATTCAATCAAAGAAATATTGTTAAATTTTTTTTTTGTATATTTTGTAAAAGGGTTACAATTATTATTATAACTATTGATTAGGTAATTAAACATTTTGTCAAATATGAATCATATATCCAATTCCTACCTATAGCACACTAGCTTAAGGGATTTAATTAATTAGTTTTAACTACAGTTGTAGACTTGTAAATACCAATATATAATTCATCCATTAGAGTGATCCATTCGACACCTACTGTACAGCAGAGCTGTCCCCACTTGCCCACCTTTTTTTACAATCAAATTTTATTTTGATGTGGCAATAAACAGAAATTACTGATAATTTAAAGGTGACTTAGATGAAGGTTCATTGTCATATTGATGATTTAATAGAGTATTTATAGGGGTATTAAATATTAATAATTGTCAAAGAAGATTTGTAGATTTGTTTCATTATATTAAAACCAGTTGACCTCCATCAAGCAATAGGTGAGGACAAAAAAAAAAAATACAGATTAAAATTAATAGGTACCTACATTTTATCACTCCTTTAGGAATCTAAAATATTAAATGATCCTGATATTCAAAAATATAAAAATTAGCATTGCATTAGAAAAACTAGATACACGTCATAGGACCCGTATTCAACCCGTTTAGGTATCGGTTTATATTTTACAATGATTATGACTGGATAAAATTGTATAAGCTTGAACATTTTTTCTCATTGAAATATTCAACTGAAAATTGAATTTTTCATGTATATTTCTCAATATAATTAATTGTTGAGATTGTACTGTTGGACGGTATATTACTTAAATGTTATTTTTTGATTAGGAATTAATCAAAATATGTGGAAATGAACTAAAATTAATACAGACAGAGGTACCTACGTAGCTACGTCCCAAAATATATTTATCAATTAAAAACAGTTCTGACTTATGGTCTTGTGTTGAAATCAAGAACAATTTAATTTGTAATAACTGATCAGTAATCATGAAAAGTGGTTTGTAAAAAATAATTGTGGAAATAACTGAAACAATAAATAAAAAATGGAAGAATCAATAAAGTAGGTAAAAAATGATTATACACTCAACATATTTTATACTGAAGTAAAAATACAAATTTTTTAATAATATATAAAAATGCATATTTTTTGCATTTGCATATAAATTTATTTGTATTTTGGATTTCCTATATTAGGTAATTGTGTAATATTGACATTTAAAATGGGTAAATGGTAATACAAGTACACAGTTTTAAATAAAAATTATGTAGATTAATATACTTTAACTATATTATAATATCAAGCGATTTTTTGATATGAAATTGATACAGAAATTATGAAATTTTCATAATTTTCAACTTTTTGAACATATTATTTCACTAGAAAAAATGACATCGACAATTATGACAGTCGACAAATATAAGCTAGACGCTCAAGCCTCAAAGTTTGAGCACAGATTTCATCTATTCTGTGGTTTGAGCACAGATTTCATCTATTCTGTGGTTTGAGCCTCGAACTCGGACTTCACAAACATTCCCACTCTCAAAACGAGACCGCCAATACTGCCAAATCAGTGCTACCAACGCCTACGGTGATAAATGTGAAACCATAGAGTTTACAGTAAACCTATTTTTGTGTCACTGCTCGAGTTGACCAAAATGCTGATTATTCAATAACATTGTCTCTCCGCTCTCGACTGTTATTAATATGCTTTTGTAATTTGTGGACAACTTTACTCTTTAGTAATATCATCAAAAAAGTGCGAGACAGCGAACAAGTCGGCCGTTTGTAAGTGTCTACAACTGAAATTAATTATATTATTATTATTGTTATTATTAGTAGACGGTTTAACTTAAATAGTTCGAATTCTATAACATACCTACCTAATAATATTATGAAATCGGGTAACCTTATAAAATATTAAACTTACCTATATGTTTTGTTCAGATAGGTGTTTATAGTTTGCCACTGGATGAATCGTTGGCCACTTTGCTCTTTGACAGCTCTCTTGTGTTGACCTTAATAACCCACTACCCAGGGCATTTGACGTTAAACCGGCGGCACAACAGTGGTCCTGAAGTTATAAATAAACCGGAACCTAGCATTTTTTCATAGCAGCTCTTTCCAAAGAGTTTTTTCTCCTGGAAACTCACCGCCATCAGTCAGATTAGTATGCAACCAGGAAATTGTCAAGTAATATTACTACCATTAAACAATAATAAATTTCATTGTTCTTAACAATTTGAATTTGTTAGTTTCACCGCGAAGCAGCAGATGATTGTACGTTCAATGAAACGGAGCATGGGGTTAAAAGGATGTGGCACTCAGGACCGGCTCAAGCGAAAATAGTGAACTAGGCGAAATCAAATTTTGCCGCCCCTAATAATATAATATTATCAGTATTTTGAAAATACTGCCTTAAAGTGCTGCTCATGTGCCGCCCTAGGCGTGGGCCTATGTTGCCTACCCTTTGAGCCGGGGCTGGTGGGCACTGTAGACAGCCTCCAGTTCCCAATTCGTTAGATGATTTAGTAGAAATGTTAAACTACAAATAGGTATTGCCAAACCATTCTAAGACTTGGTAATTAAAAAGTGTCAATAGTATAATAATATTAACAGAAGATTCGGTCAAATCTAATGACTCACATGATATTATTTGGATTTAAACTAAACTGATTTTTTTTTCAGTGGTGTCCTAAAGTTTATGAAACACAAATTGTCCAAAGTAAGTGGCCTCGTTTCGTGTATTTTACAATCATTCCCAATGGTGTATGCTTTCCTGATATTAATTTACCAATAAAGTTATGAGGCACTTTTGAAAATTGTATGTAATATTCTGCCATTGAAGTACTAACAGCTGTGTATAAGATGACATTGATGAATTATGTTCTCAATGTGATGCCTGAGACCCCGAGAGTGAATTAATAAGTTCTTGGTTTTAAGTCCGCCAGAACTACAACATGGTGTCTTTGTCACATTTAAAATATAATAAAGAATTGTAGTAAGTAAATAATAATTAATTACTATTAACAATACCAGTGTTTGTTATTAAATAGGTACTTAAAAAGTAAATTGATAACTTGTATTTTACAGTCATTCCCAATGGTGTATGCATTCCTGATATTAATTTACTATAAAAGTTATTAGGCACTTTTGAACATTGTACTACCTACCTAACAATGTACTTTTGAACATAATCCTGCCATTGAAGTACTAACAGCTTCATTAAGATGAATTATGTTCTTGATGTGATGCCCGAGACCCTGAGAGTAAATTAATGAGTTTTTGTTTTATTATTATCAGGTAAATATAAATAAGTAAAAAAAAATACTAACTTAAAATGGCATTTTCCTCACAATATTGCAATTTATATAATTTCATAGTTGATTTCATCTGTTTCAAGGTGGCCCTGTTGCAGCTAGAGTCCGGATAATGGTAAGCATCAAATATGAATTATTTACTGAGATTTTTTAGTTAGTGGTTTTCTAGTATTTAGATAGTAACTAGTATAATCAATGGCTCCTCCAATGCTACATCCATATTACTAAATGTTAAAAATTTGATTTGTTAATTGATAATTTATTTTACAATTTTAGGTATTACCTTTACAACTTTTACCTGAGGAAAGAGGCCATCCATATTGTCTGTAATATAATATTATTAATGTCCAAGTATTGAAGAACAATTAAAAACTTTTGTCATTGGCTATACAGAGCGATACTGGCTGACATAAGTTGGATCTACGTTTTTAAGTGTTTTTCGTTGTGAATATGGGACCAATAATATTACCTGGAATCATTTACCTTTCATTCTACTTAAATGACTCGAATATCAAAACATCAAACATGGGATTTTATATGTGAGTTTTTCCAATTAATAATTTTTTATGCTAATATTATAATATATAATTATATTATGGTATATATAAATTTCTTTTAATTATTAAGGGGGCTGGAGCAGGTATAAATAATCACTTAAAACATGCCAAAAGCCAAACAAAAATGTGTTACTTGGGTTTGACGTGTTTTAATTTTGAAAACTAATTAAAAATCTTCAACAACTTTACCAAAGCATGGCCGTGGAAATTTATCACTATTACAAAAATTAATGGTGTACTTAAATATAATATATAATATATCAAAATTCTTGTTTTTTAAATTGTCGATATTATATTGAAGCATTTGTTTAAATAAAGTCCCCTCGGCCATTCCCTAACTAACACAATGACTAATTAATATCCATTTTCAAAATCAAAATTTGTCGAATCCAAGTCCCTTGTTTTTTTTTTTGGCATTAATGTCATTTAAATAGCATGGTATATTTGATAAAATCGGTATAGTTGACATATGCGAGCTGTGAGCCGTCAGTGCCCTGTACTAGATAACAAATTAAACTAGTAATTATTCGTTATGCTGCACGTCATAAAAATTAAACAACCTCATTTTATTTTGATTTTTAAATATATTAGTAAGTGTGTATACTAAAAAATTTATAAATTATATGTTATAGCCTATAGGTAGGTAATAGGTATATTTAATTATTGTTTTAAGAATTTTTTGATGGTTTTTCATTAAAATAATTAAGTACATACTACCAATATTGTCTTAATTACCTATATATTATTAACTTACTATAACTTCTTGTTTATTTCGTTTAAAAATAATTTTTTATTTAGTTCATTGCTCACAACTATATCCCTAATTTCATCAAAATGTGGGTACTTTTTGGTTTTCACTATTTGCTTTTCAGTTATTGCGACTGTCAAATTTGTACACTGTATTTTATTACAGAATATTATGTCTTATTTTGTCAAAACCAATTATACAAATATATGAGTTAAAAAATTTTCAACGACCGAGAGTATTTGGTTTTTAGAAGTTTCACTGTGTTATATAAAAGTGGCGTAGCTGAAGCAGAGGGAAATGCCTCGCCTGTAGTGGACGTAACTACCGAGTTTGCCTAGTAGTTGCCTTCTGCATTTTCAGATCCTAAAATTATCAGTGAAAATAGAAAAATAATAGAATAATAATACAACATTATGTAAAATTGAGGGGGTTTTGTCGAAACCGGTGTAATGTATATACATTAAAGACGCCACTAGATCTGTGATAATGACTAGAAGTCGGTAGGTAACGTTTTAGTCGACTATGCATAATATGTAATGTTTAGGTATACCAATTGTATATATCTTATGTATTTTAATTTACAGTGAAGTTATTTAAATTATTTTTGTTTGCAGAATGGGTGCACCGCTGAGCAAATTATAGAAGTATTCCTCATTAAATTACAAGATATTTCATCAATATAAAATTAACAGACAAAAAATGAGTTGGTAAAAGAAGTTGTTAAAGAAGGAATACAACATTGAAAGAAGTATGATCCTTCATTATAACTATAATTAATGAATACATTTTTATAATTACTATTTCATAAATAATACAATTTAAGGGGGTTGGAAGCGGTGATTTTCTGTCTTCGTGTAACACACGTGGAAGATAGGAATTTAGACAGATTTTCATTCCAATGTACCGATTGATCTAGTGGGGCAGTAAGAATTCTAAAAACAGATTTGAATTTGTCGTCATGTCTACTTGAGATCTACTTTCCTTGATTTTTGATTTTATCCCCCTAAATTCTAAAAATTTGGCACTAAAATAGGAAATGAAATATTAAAATTTTCAGAGAAAATCAAATAAAAAAATTAAAAATCTGTTAAAGTCAATCTCAAGTAGATTTGACGTCAAATTAAAATCTGTTTTTGGAACTATTATCACTTCACTTGTTCAGTCGGTACGTTGGGATGAAAACACATCTAAATTCCTATCTTCTACGTGTGTTAGACAGACAGAAAACACCACTTCCAACCCCATTAAATTGTATTATTGTGGTGTTGAGCTAAAAGAGCCATAACAATTATTTCTTAGGTATTTACATTCATGAGTCAATAATAAATGAAAAATTATACTGCTAGAGATAGTTACTGTTTTAAGTTTTAATATATTAATAAGTAATAATGCATTTTCAGATTCTCTATGAATGCATTCAACATATTGAACAAAAATGTTGCTATGTCGTACTAAGTGAGATGGAAACAACAAATGCATGGGTAGAAAACTCTTAATATATTTTGTTTACTATAGAAAAAAAATTTATATAGATTGAAAAACAAATTTTTGTTAAACTAAATCAAGCCCGACGAAATCTTACAGTACTTTATTGTTAATTTAGCATAAAAGCATAAATAATTTTGCATTTATACATTAAAGATATAAAGTAATAATACTAATAACTTGTAACATTCATAGGGGAATCTTTTGTCATAGAACAATCAGAATAATATACATAGATTAATAATTATAATATTGTATTGAAAGTTTGAATTAAAAATGTGTAACCAAGAAATATAAAGTTCACATATTAGAGAATATACTACTTCAAGAAAAGAGAGATTTTTAAAAACGACAATTATTCATCCACTCATTCATACATTAGATGTTCATGGGGACTTAGTAGAGGTCCTCAGGAAGGTGGGCCATCAGAATTCCAACATAATATTGTCTACTCTCACTTGGTACTTCACACCTTCCATGGCCAGCTTGGTTAGGTTTATTAATTTTTTTGGGAATCCAAATTCTTCCATTATATTATAGAGACTATTTCTGTGTATGCTATCATAAGCTTTCCATTTCCTGTAAGATATTCAATTATGAACTTTGATGTTAGACAAGATTTTAAAAATATGTAGATAATATAATTAATTTATGTTACTGATTTTCATTATTTTAAACAAAATTGTAATATTGTTGTCTGTATGATTTGTGTTATAGAAGTTGATATTATTTAATTTTAGTTGTACTTGACCACTAAATTAATAAGAAGTCCATCTCAAAATATACATTTACATTTTTACATTAGAAATGTTAACTTAAATTAAGTTGTACGTAAATTGTATAAGCCAGCGGTTTCCAAACTGTGCTCCGCGAGTTGTACCTAATACCTAATAAAAAGAATTTATTTCAAAATTTCAAAATTTTTTTATTTTTAATATCCTAGGTACCTAATTTATCATAACTACTAAATAATTGTGCAATTATATAACAAAATGTATTAATATCTTTTGGGTATTTCTTTAAACTTAAGCAAGTAAATAATAAATATGTAACTATACACACTCGTTATAGTAAAATAATGAAAGTAAATTATATTATACCTTTATTTACATTACATCATCATTATTATCATTACATGATGAGAAACAAATTATTGTGACATGCAGTAAAGGTGGTTTATTAAGGTATATAAAGGACAAATGTATATTGTAAAGGTAGGTATTCCTATTATTACATTAGAAAATAAGCAGTGGCATACGCAGGGGAGGGGGCTAACAGGCTTAAGCCAACCCCCCCCCCCCCCCATTGCCCGTATTATTATTACTGGGCAAATATATATTTATCAAATTTCAAATGTCAACTATAATAATCAAGACATAAATTTCATATATGTATTACCAGAATGAATTCATTTTTGAAAAAACATATTTGCACACCAATTTTAATAAAACTATCTGTAATTTTTCGTTAAAAGTATGAACTACTTGTATGGAAGACCTTGTATTAAATTGTCTAGTGTTAGCTATATACATATAATATTTTATAAGCTTTGAACTACAAATTAACGGTGGTTTTGACGAAATTTGAACTTTAAATGCTTATAAAAAATAACCATAATGTCTATGTTAATATTTTAGCTATAATAAAATAGTACGTATTACATTGTTAAGCTTGTGATCAGAGCATTTTTTCTGTCAGAGTTGAGAAGTTACAAATATTTTAAAATACCTCAAATAAACGCCTAAAATTATTAGACTGCAGGACAAAATAAAAATAAAATTGTAACTAATTTTCAAGCCCCCCTCCCCCATTGAAAATTCCTGCACACGCCACTGAATACAAGTATTTGCGTTTACATGAATAATGTTGAAATGTACCTACATAATAATATGTAATATCTTTGGAAATAAATTGGCCGTATAATATATTTTCAATTTTGAACAATATAATATTATTTTGCTGTCATGGAGATTTTCGTTTGGATGTTTATGCGTACGACCGATTACACATTTTGAATCAGTTTATATTTCGCGACGAAACATCTCTCTCGAATATTATAGTAATTTTCACATAAATAATATATAGAATGATCAACTTATGATTTTATTTTTATATTGTCTTATTGTCTAATAATTTTAATACGCCTTGCGTTTTATACGCATAAAAAATCAAAAAAAACAAACAACTGCGCTGTACTATACGTTCCACAAATTATGGAAAACGCATTTGAAAACGTCGACACCGTCGTCGAGGAGGTGATGGAAGACCTGATAGCGGAAGTGGTTTCGGACTCGAGTAATATAGAGACGACCGTCCACTTGGTTCTAAAAGACATCATGGAAATGGAATTTGGACACCAAAAAAGAACACTGGAAACCGACACCGTTTCAGAGGAATGCCGAGACAGACGGATGGTCGCCATCGTGGATCAGTTGGTGGATGCAATGGTGCACCTAGTGTCCGAAAAGTTGTCGGCCGCGCCGCACGTACAGCCCGGAGACGGAAACGCTGTACTGCGGTGCGAGGAGGAAGAGGAAGAGAAGGAGGAGGAGGAGAAGATGGCCACGAGTGGAGACTTTGAGGTCATCTTGGACGGAGAAGCTCCGACCGAGGATGGGGCGGAGATCGACGAACCACCGGCAACACAAGCGGCAGTCTCTTCACGAGGGCGGGTTAGGCGATTGGCGGCCGCCGCGTGGAGAGGAGTGAAACGGGCAGGACGAGCAGTAATTTGCCTGGGTTGCTGAAGAGCGTCCTCGGTCGAGGGCAGCAGTCAAGGCGAAGCGGTGTGGGGTCGAGGATTAAGGTACGTGAAAGTGCACTTTTGGGGTGATCGGAGGTAAGTCACCGACACACGTTCTCCGGCCGCCTGCGGCAGGGCCAAGGGATCGCGGACGTTTGGAGACCCTCATGGAGACGTGGCGGGCCCCGGCCGCTTCGGTCCGACAGCGACGACGACGACCCGACGACGGCTGTGGTTACCTGTACCGGTGGTACCACTTTCGGTACGACTGCTGCAGCGTTGCACCGCGAAGACGACTCGCGACGGCGTCGACGGAAACCGCAGAGCACACGTCGGGCGAGTGACGGACGACTTTAATTATTGTTATTATACGGTGGCTAGGGACCATATAATAATAATATTATCGTCTTCGTCGCTCGATCCGACGAGCTTCTTTGGTGACCGTCTTCGCCGTCGCCACAGCCGTATTCGGCACCTGCAGTACAATATCTATAGCGGATGTCATCGTGCACTAGCCCAATCCAGGGGCGGACTGGCAGATCGGGAGATCGGGAAATTTCCCGATGGGCCGGTCGAATAACCGAATTATGGGGCCGGACAATTTGGTTGTACAAGTAACTTATTACAATTTTTAGATTATAATAAAAGTTTATCAGTTTTTGGTAAATTTAAAATCTATAGAATATAACATAAATAATACGTTAATACGATAATAATCGTACCTTAATATAATTTTGCTTTTCTAAGAAACATACGAAACATAAGGTATTTATATAAATAGAAATTACGATGCCGCCTGCCGGCCGCCGTCCCCGTGTTGTTTATAATATACGACAACGATATATTATTAATTCGATGTATTATTGTTGTTAGTTGTTATATAATTTAAAAATATACTGTTTTCGTCCGGGACTAACAACACTGTCGTCTGTGATATTATATAAAATATAAATATTACTTATTAGTTCATTTGTATTTTGTATTGTCAAGTAGAAAGATTACTTTCAAAGCAATGTTTACGATCATAACCTCAGCTTTTTAAAGGTAGGTAAGTCAAATCAATTTTTAAATAATATATTATTATAATTTATTGTAAATAAAGTAAAGTTATTGATATAAGGCCTATACATTTTAATCTATATTCAATTATTATTAAAAATTGGTTAAATGGTTTAAAATATAATAGAATTATTAGTTTTAGAGGCCTATCCGGCTATCCCCTATTAGCTATTTGAATTTTGAATCCCACCGTGTGTTGTTGTTTTGTCGTTTTTAAATTGAATTATTCTTAATTCATATTGTTACGGTTCCCTAAGACCACATATTTTATATTTTTCTATAGTATTTGAATAAAAATGCTGATAAAAACCAAGGCTCTGCATCCAAACGTAATATTTTTATATTATTATTAACAAATAATAATTTAACTCTACCTTTTGGAACGAAGTTCCTTATGGGGCGTTAGGTGGATGGGAGTCGCTGGAAAAAAATCGCAACACCAAAAAGCGTAACACCGAAAAGCGTAACACTGAAAAATTGCTCGGCTCGGCTCGGCTCTGCTCGGCTGCCGGCTTACATATCCCCTCCCTCCTCTCATATTATCGTATGTCCCCACTATATATAGGATCGTACCATCTGGCAACCGGGTTCCATTCGCGTAGGCTACCCAACATCGGTCGTCACGCGCGTAGAGGTGACCGTCGGGCGGAATGGGGGGGGGGACCCATTAAACGAGTAATTATTTTTGACGAAGCATAACTTAGCCGGTATTCGACTTAGAGACCCCGGACCAGTGGGCATCTCAATTTTTTAGGCCCCAGATGAATTTTCAACATTAGGGAACCAAAGCCCCCACCCCCCCACATTTTGAGTTGAGTGTAACTCGGCCGGAATTCAAGTTAAAGACCTCGGACCAAGGGGGAACCCATTCTTATTATGAAGACTACAGTTTTCCGCTTTAGGGAACGGGGGCACCTCCTCCCCCCCTTTTGGATTTTGCTTTTTTGATGGATTTTGGTCCGGGAGAGTACTAACACCCACCTCGCCAAGGGGAAACTCGGGGTTTTGAGTTTTTGATGGGATTTATTGGGATTTTCATAAATATTGTTTTTATTGATAAGGAAAGTGATAAGAATTTTATTTTCAAAATAATTTTTGCCCCTTAAATTTATAAATTCCATTGTGATTTCCATTTACCTTCTTCTCTATATACATACAAATCTATTAAACAAATGAAATTAAAATTTACTTTTGAAAAACGATAATCGAGTACAAGCTGTATCAACCGTATCATTATTAAAATTTCTTTCAGTAGAATTGACTTGACCATCAATAGGTTTTTTTTTTTTTTTTTTTTTTATTGGATAACCCGCGGCAACATGGGCCATTGGGTGTGTGGAGGGAACTGTAAGTTTTTAGATTGGGTAGGTTGGTACACGAGTGTGTTTGTGGTGGCAGAATTTTTATTGGGGCACCCGTAGGTTTCTGCCATGCCCCGGGGTGGGGGATGGCGGCATTTGTACTCCGGACACCGTGACTTGCCCGGAGAAAAATGCCGCCCAGTGGTCGAGAGTCGAACCCGCGACTGCCAGCGCCGCAGTCGACGCGTTAGACCGCTCGGCCACCTCGTCCCCCCTATTATTATTATTATATATCATTGACTATTATATTCGATAAATGTTGTAATTTTATTTTTCACTACCTACTGCAGTAGGTACTGCTTGAAAATATCTACTGTTGGAATATATAATTTATATTAAGTAATTAAAACCGTACAGTTGAGTAGGTAGTGTATAATATTATGTATGTGACTTACAAATTACAATTATATATATTATGTACAGTACACTGTACATACTTCATACAACTTCAAAGGCCATAGATACGGTGATAGAATGTGTCCAATTTTAATCTAGTTTAGTTTTTATTTGTCAAACTAACTATGCCCAATTATAAAAATACATTAAAAGCAAATCACAATCTCCGATTCAATTTCAAATTAATAGTTGTTTTTTTTTTTATATATTGATTTAGGTGCCTATAATCTAAATATATATATATATTAAGTTTTTATCCATTCATTAATTTATAAAATAATTTCATAATAAAACTAGATAATTATGAGTTATTATTTAGTACATGACTGTCATGACCTATGCACTTATTGCTACATGGGTATCTAATTATAATAATATTAGGTAAATATAATAGGTAGGTACACTATATGCTACTCAGTAGGCATTTTAGTAATGATTATTGAATGAATACTCATAAGTTCTATGTGTATGTAGGTATTCTAGTCACTATAGACTAGATTTTATTGTTTTGAAAATAAGTAGGCAGTTGTAAATAATATTATTGTTAAAAAGCCAAATGTGCTTGTTAATTGTTATGATGTCTTTATCTTACAAACGCATAGATAGGTACAACGGTGTAACTGGGTAAAAAACTAGGGGGGGAATTATTCTTTACCCCATGCAAAAATATGTCAGGGGGGCGAGTGTCTCACCACAATTACGACATAGGTCCCTTAAATGTAGCAAATTTAAGTTCTAAACCATGAAATCTCAAATATCCCATTTTGTATTGAGTAAGTAGGTACCTATTTTTAGGACTTAATTAGTAATTTCTAATAATTATTATTAATGTTATTGTGAATTGATCTATAATTATATGGGTCCATCAAAAATGGTGCCTCATATATATTATTAAAACTATAATGTTTCTGTAAAATACCGTATAGGGAACCCTGTATTAACTGTCTAGCCTTATTTATTACGTACAATTGAACATTTTTAATTGTAAAATAATTTCCAAATAAATTCCAAAGTTTGAATTTCAAATGCTTACACAAAATTTTTTGTTAATGTATTTTTGATATTTTTAATGTGTTGTAAGATTGTAAGAACAACTTTAGTGAGTGGGATCTTGTATAACCATTTTCAAGCTTTTGACAAAGCTTAAGGGGCCTGTTTTTTTGCTCAAAATTTCTGTAATTTTTTTTTTGTTAGATAGAGGAAGACTTCTTACAGGGCGCATTGGACTTGGATTTTCAAAATTATTTTTCTAAGTCTTATGTTACAAGTTTGAATTTAATCAATTTTTACAACTTTTTAGTTTTTGTATTAGATTCTGAGCGGAGCGATGAATGTATTGGTTTTACAATGATGTATGTTTTTTTTTATTTATATTTTTATTTATATTTTTATATTTTTTATTTTTGTGTCTGTCATCACGTTTTGGGACAGTAAAAGTGCTTCGATTTTCTTCAATAGTACCTTTTCTGATAGGAAAGTGAATCTAGTTGGTACTTTGGGGGTCAAAAGTAAACATTTTCCAGTAGTTTTCACAAGCGCCGGGAAAAACAACATAAAAATTAAGGAAAAACGGGAATTTTTACGCAAAATCGATTTTCCAAAAAATCGAATTTGGTTTTTGGTGTAACTTTAAAACAAATGACCGTAGATACATGAAATTTTCACTGGTTGTTTATATTTGCATTTTCTATACACGATAACATTTTCAAAATATTTTGATTTATTTTGAACTGTTTAGGGACATTTTCATTTTTCATTTTTTTTTAGTTTTTTTCTAGAAATATCAATAAAATTTTATTTGTTGGTTGCGAAAGCTTGAAAATTTAATAGAAGGCTCCTAATATGTTGTTTCAAAGGCAGATGAAAAATATTAAAAATACTTAGTAACAGTTTTTTTTTATAAGCATTTAAAGTTCAAAAATTGACAAAATATGGAATAATCACGAAAATTAACAAATTATTTTGAGTTAAGAATTCGTAAAAATTTTTCCTTTTAAATCTAAGATTTGAAAATCGAATACAAGATTACTCATAAGTTTGTCTACTTTTATCAATAAAAAAATCTCTACCGGAAAGTCAAATTAAATTTTTATGAGCGTTTGAAATTCAAATTTTTACAACATTGGATATTCAACTTGATTTCTCATGTAGCGATTTCCTAATTTTGTTGTAATTCAAAAACGAACAACTGTAGATACATGAAAATTTCACTGAATGTTTAAATTAGCATTTTCTATACATCATACAATTTTGAAAATATTTTGACTCTTTTTGAGCTGTTTAGGGACATTTTCAGTTTTCAATTTTTTTAGTTTTTTTTTTTATAATTGTCAATAAAATTTTATTTGGTGGGCCAAAAAGTCTGAAAATTGAATACAAGCTTTCTTATATATTGTTACAATATCAGTTGAAAAATTTTAAAAATACATAGGCACGATTTTTTTTTATAAGCATTTAAAGTTGGAATTTTGACAAAATTCATCAAAATCTCGAAAATAATCAATCGTTGGAATTAAAAAATTATAAAATGTTCAGTTTTTATAACTAAGAGTTGAAAATTTAAAACAAAGATTCTCTTAAATAATTCATACTGTAACCAAAAAATCTAAAAAATATATAAACACACTTATTTTTTACAGACATTTTAATTTCAAATTTGGACGAAATTACATATTAAAAAACCTAGAATAACTATTTTAGTTATTTTGTTGTGATTGAATAATATTATTCGTGGGTACTTGAAACTTCTAAAGTGTACTATTATATATCTATGATAGTATCACGGTTTTTGTTGATGTATAACGCGTTATAAGTACTTAATGGATATTTTGATATGATTAATTTTGGAATTTATTATAGGTACCTACCTATTATAGGTCAAATTTTGGTTTAGTACCATAGATATGTATAATGTATATAATATGTCTTATACCTAGACTGACATACTGTCTCCGCTCAGAATCGTTTTTCTTATACAATGATATTATATCGTTGAATTCAAATTTAATATCATCCATTATACAGTGACCCACTTGTAACCTACTGTACAGCAGAGCGACACCCACTTGCCCACCTTTTTATATATATTTTTATTTATATTTTTGTGTCTGTCATCACGTTTTAGGACAGTAAAAGTGCTTGGATTTTCTTCATCAGTAGCTTTTCTGATAGGAAAGTGAATCTAGTTGGTACTTTGGGGGGTCAAAAGTATAAATTTCGCAGTAGTTTTCACAAGCGCCGGGAAAAACAACACAAAAATTAAGGAAAAACGGGAATTTTTACGCAAAATTGGTTTTCCAAAAAATCGATTTTGGTTATTGGTGTAACTCTAAAACAAATGAACGTATATACATGAAAATTTCACTGGTTGTTAATATTTGCATTTTCTATACACGATAACATTTTCAAAATATTTTGATTTATTTTGAACTGTTTAGGGACATTTTCATTTTCCATTTTTTTTTAGTTTTTTTTCTTAAAATATCAATAAAATTTTATTTGTTGGTTGCGAAAGCTTGAAAATTTAATAGAAGGCTCCTAATATGTTGTTTCAAAGGCAGATGAAAAATATTAAAAATCCTTAGTCACAATTTTTTTTTATAAGCATTTAAAGTTCAAAAATTGACAAAATATGGAAAAATCACGAAAATTAGCAAATTATTTTGAGTTAAGAATTCGTAAAAATTTTTCTTTTTAAATCTAAGATTTGAAAATGAAACACAAGATTCCTTATAAGATTATCTACCTTTATCAATAAAAAAATCTCTACCGGACAGTTAAATTAAATTTTTATGAGCGTTTGAAATTCAAATTTTTACAACATTGGATTTTCACTCGATTTCTCATGTAGCGATTTCCTTATTTTGTTGTAATTCAAAAACGAATAACTGTAGATACATGAAAATTTCACTGAATGTTTATATTAGCATTTCCTATACACCATACAATTTTGAAAATATTTTGACTCTTTTTGAGCTGTTTATGGACATTTACAGCTTTCAATTTTTTTTAGTTTTTTTTTCTATAAATATCAATAAAGTTTTATCTGTTGGGCCAAAAAGTGTAAAAATTTAATACAAGGCTCCTGATATATTGTTACAATATCAGTTGAAAAATATTAAAAATACATAGGCACGATTTTTTTTATAAGCATTTAAAGTTGGAATTTTGACAAAATTTATCAAAATCTCGAAAATTATCAATCGTTGGAATTAAACAATTATAAAATGTTCAGTTTTTATAACTAAGAGTTGAAAATTTAAAACAAAGATTCTCTTAAATAATTCATACTGTAACCAAAAAATCTAAAAAATATATAAACACACTTATTTTTTACAGACATTTTAATTTCAAATTTAGACAAAATTTCATATTTAAACCAAGAATTACGATTTTAGTTATTTTGTTGTGATTGAATAATACTATTCGTGGGTACTTGAAACTTCTAAAGTGTACTATTATATATCTATGATAGTATCACGGTTTTTGTTGATGTATAACGCGTTATAAGTATCTAATGGATATTGTGATATGATTAATTTGGAATTTATTATAGGTACCTATTATAGGTCAATTTTTTGTTTAATACCATAGATATGTATATAATATGCCTTATACATAGACTGACATACCATCACCGCTCAGAATCGTTTTTCTTATACAATGATATTATATCATTGAATTCAAATTTAATACCATCCATTATACAGTGACCCACTTGTAACCTACTGTACAGCAGAGCGACACCCACTTGCCCACCTTTTTTTTTTTGTTTTTAGCGACGTAATCAAAAATCGAAGTCCAATGCGCCCTGTAAAAAATATTCCTCTATCTAACAAAAAAAAAATTACGGAAATCGGACCAATCTACGAGGTGTGAGAGTTTTTCCTGTAAACTATGTTTTGACCGATATAATACACCCTATCAACCCCCCCTAAATAGGTATTGGGTAGTAGATTAGTGGAAAAGTCTTATAATTGAGGTGGCAACTAAAATATAAAATTTAATTTTCAAATTTTATAGAATTGCGGAAAATTTGAAAAATCGCGACCAGGCCCCTTAACATTTTGATCTTTATTTATAGAAAAAAAAACTAAATACAGAATTTCAATTTTCAAATGTCTATAAATAGCTTAAAATAAACTTATTATTTCAAAAATTTCATATGTGTATAGAAAATGACAATTTAAATATAATTTTACAATTTTCTTCAATAATAATATTTGAATTACAGAGTAAAAACAAATATCATTATTCTACATAGGTATTTAATGAGAAAGTCCATGAAAATGTACTATTTTCATTTCCCAATAGTGTTTATTTAAATATTTAATAACTAAAATGCATTTTTTTAGGGACCATTGTATCCGGCAATGAGCAGGCTACTCGCTTCGTGGGTACCAGTTGAAGAACGGGGTCGATTAGGATCTCTGGTATTTGCTGGTATGTAGGCCACAAACCCTTAAGTTTTGTTTGACATGAATTGTAATAATTTTGAACACGCATATTTATTCATTTTTAGGAGCACAAGTAGGTAACGTTGCTTCTATGCAGTTGGGTGGCTTTCTTATGCGGTACACCAACAGTTGGACCAGTGTATTCTATGCATTCGGAGTGTTTGGAATATTTTGGCTGATGTTCTGGTTCGTATTGATATACAACCACCCAAATCGTCATCCATTCATCAGTCAAAAGGAAAAACAGTATTTGAACAGGGCGATTAACACCGTCGATCCAGAAGATGTTAGTCTTATAACAATAATAATAAACCAAATACATGTTATTCTAATACACTCAATGTCTGTTACATAGGGCAAGTTATCAATTCCATGGAAGAGTATTGCAACATCAGCACCAGTGTGGGGATTGATCATTGTTCAGATAGGTCACGATTGGGGTTTGTTCACCATAATTACAGATTTGCCAAAGTATATGAAGTCAGTGCTGAAGTTCTCAGTAGTCGAAGTATAAACACACCATAATTGAACATATTATATGTATACATATATTATTTTAAAAATAACTCATCAATTCGTAAAATGTTTTATTTCAGAACGGTTTATTGTCTGGCTTACCGTACATAGTGATGTGGTTGGTAGCTATGGGTTCTGGTTTCATAGTAGACTCAATGTTATCATCCCAGTATTTCACAGTGACTTGCATCCGTAAAACATTTGTAACTATAGGTAAATCAGCTTAACAATTAAGAGTTTAATAATTGAGCATAAAATAAATGAAATATTGTTATTCCTTTTCAGCTAGTGTAGGGCCAGCACTCGGAATTGTTGCAGCATCATATTCTGGATGCGATAAGGTGTTAGCAGTAGCTAGCTTCACGATAGGTATGGGACTTATGGGTACTTTTGTACCCAGTTTGAAAGTCAATGCCTTAGATCTCAGTCCCAACTATGCTGGGACATTGATGGCTATTGTGGGAACAATCGGATGTTTGTCTGGAGTTATTGCACCTTATATTGTCGGCATTATGGTTCCAAATGTATGTTACACTGTATTATACTTATTTAACAGAATTGGCTTGAAAATTAAATTATTTTTTTTTTATTTAGAGTTCTATGGAAGAATGGCGTGATGTGTTTTGGCTGTCTGCTGCTATACTAATAGCCACCAACTTGTTATTTTTACAATATGGTTCAGGAAATGTACAACCATGGAATGAAAAGGCAAACCGCCAGTACAAGAGTAGCGATATTAATAATGAAAATAATACGGATTCGATACTAAAACCATTGTAAAATAATGACCCAATAAGTTTTGTACAGTTATAACTTTGTCTTATAATTTTTATACTAATTATTCTTAAGATATAACATAGGTAATATTTATAATAATTTAAATCGCACCAAAAGAACAATAGCGAGAATATGCAATTCTTAAGACAGATCTTAAAAACTTTCCAAGAGGTTCTGGATACCAATAAAATGTGAATGCAATGAATTGTTTAGATGTGAAATATAATATGGTACAAGTTTTGATGATTTCAGCTTAAAACATTTATTAGTTTCTTTTTTGTTTAAAGAAAATCAAAAATACACAATTCATTTTTATTTAATGTAATCATTAAAAACATTAATGTAAGTCATCAAACTTTTTTCACAGCACAAGCAACAATTTACACCTTTTTAATAAAAATTCTTTGTTAATTAACCACATAATTGTTAAAATATCTTTCAAGATTATTGGTATCCAGATCTTAAAATAAATAATGAGAATATAATTGACAAAATTAATGGATCAGCAAAATTTTCATTAAAATGAATGTTAATAATAATGAATTAACATTACTAAGTACATAAAATAGACATTTAAACTTCCATACATCATAATTTGTGTCATGTATGAATAAAGAACAATAAATATAATATGTAAATATAAATGAGAAAATACGTGAAACTAATGAACACCAGCAACACCTTTAACAGCAATGTTATTGGCATTTTCTCGTTTCACTTTCCTTCTCCTGTATGGATTATCCCTGTTATATTGCACACTGCGGTCGAGATCAATTGTATACATTGTGCCACAAATAAGTACATCAAATTTTAGTAAATTGAGTTTGTAGTGGTGTTCAATCTCGTCAGATGTTTTCTTATCATATTGCCACCAGCCTAAAATATGAAAAATTATGTCAAAATAAGTATTCACTCATGACTAAAAAAACAGGCATGTTAGCAAATTCGAATACTTTTCCTATCACTGCGCATGTGTGCTGTATAGATTATATAAAACTAATATACTAGTGCCACTGAGAGAGTGCTTCTCTTTTGCACATCCAAATGATCCGAGCCCTGGAATTGTGTACCCAAATTTCTCCCACTCTAACACTCTGGCATAGGTTTGATGTCCATCAAATTTCTAAAATGTTTTATTTATCTTCTGTTAGTATTAATTATAATTTAAATATTCAACTGAGAAAATGTCTGGTATTTCAAACGTAAGTGCTGCAATAGTGTATTAGATTAGGCCTTAGACAATATGTCAATATAATGCTTAAGTAGTTCCGGCAGGCGGCAACGCCATCGATGTTACAAAAAAAGACCTTAGACAATGGTTTATGGGCGATGGGCCGCTTGAAAAAAAATTCCCGGGCCGCTCTGAAGGAGCCAGTCCGCCCCTGGCCCAATCGTCGTCAACCGTCATCGTTGCTCTCGCAGCCGTCGTGGTCGGGTTCCTTCACGCTTCCGTGTTCGTCTTCGCTTCCTCGAGGAAAGGCGCCCGCGACCCTCGCCCCCCCCGCAGGACTGGCCGCAAGAACGGTGTGGAGGTGACCATCTTCTGCACCACCAACTCGCCATCACGTACCCCCCACCTCGCTTCGTCTTGACTGATGTCTTTTTTTTTTTTACAATTATAATTAATTGTAATTTATACTGCCAGATTTGAGCCCCTTTTAATTATTGTTAATATCAATGTTTATTGAAATTTAATCTGCCACGTTGAGCACCTTTTATATTTTTTTTTATATTATTATTCATGTTTTTTTTTTTTTTTTTTTTTTATTAAGAGAAAAGCCTCGATAACGTAACCATTGGCTTACTTTTACATTTAATGATTACTTAAATTAAGTTGTACAGTTCAGAATCTTTCAGAAATAAAATTATTTTTTGGATGGATTTTTCGTCAGGGCCCAGTGCGTCGTGAAGGTGTTCCGGTATGTTGAATTTTTGTCGTGCCTCTTTTGTGTCTCTGCATTCGGTGATAATATGTTTGATTGTAGTTGTAATTCCGCATGTAAGGCATATTTTTGGTGGCTCCTTTTTCATGAGGTGGCCATGTGTGTGATGCGTGTGGCCTATTCTGAGGCGATTTAGTACGACTTCTTCTCTTCTTTTGAGCCACATAGGGTTATTCCATTTTTCGATAGTTCTTTTTATTTCATTTAATTTACTATTCATTTTAAGCCATTCTTTTTGCCAGATATTTTTGATTTGGTTGTATATAATTTTTTTAGTATCTTTGTCGGATTTAATATTCCACACAGTTAGTTGATGTGGGTTATTGGCTTTTTCCTTGGCAAGTAAGTCGGCTCTTTCATTACCAGGTATTCCGCAGTGCCCGGGAATCCATGCGAAGATTAAGTTATCGTTAAATTTATTGGACAAGTTAATTATTTTATTAGTTATAACATTATTGTTATTAATATTACTAAGACTAGCTAGAGTGCTCATGGAGTCTGTCAAAATTATGTACTTATTATTATGCAGGTTGGCACTTATTATATAGGATAGTGCTTTATATATAGCTAGTGCCTCAGCTGTATATATGCTACAATTATCCGACAACCTTTCCGAAAGTTCGGTTTGTAAGAAAACTGCAGCAACACCCACCCCTTTGTCTGTTTTTGAGGCGTCGGTATATATATGTATGTGGTCTGGTAAAGTGTATATTAATTCATAGAATGCATTTTTGTATGTAAGATTTGTGGTTTCTTTTTTGTTGTAGATCGCTATCGACATGTCAAACGAGTACTTTGTAGTTGTCCATGGAGGTTTTACGGGTATTTCTCTAGTCAATATATTACTTATTTCTAATTTAAGTTCTCCCTCTTTTTCTTTTATTCTTTTGTACATAGGTTGTATTAATTTGTTGTTGTTGTTAAAGGTATTTTCGAATCTGTTATTGAATACTGTGGAATACGTTGGTTTGTTCGGGTCGGTTGCTGTTCTTACTGCGTATTGCAACATCAGTTGATTTCTCCGATTATTAAGTGGTTGTTCTCCTGTAATATTGAGTATGCTGTTTATGGGACTACTTCTAAATGCACCAGATGCCATTCTTAGGCCAGCATTATGGATAACGTCGAGCATTTTCAGTGCTGAGTTTCTCGATGTCATATATAAGGGGGATCCGTAATCCAAAATTGATCTGATTAGTGAATTGTAAATGTTTATTAGGGTTTTAGAGTCTGCTCCCCATTTCGTACCTGAAAGTACTTTGATAATGTTCAGTCTTTTTTTGGCTTTGTCTTTAAGATTTTTTATGTGTGTGGTCCAGGTAAGTTTTTCATCGAAGGTAAGACCTAATATTTTTAAGTGTCTTGTGTAAGGAATTATTTTGTTGTCCATTTTTAAAGTTGGTTTTTTTTTAATTTTTTTGTGTGAAAATATTATGAACTGGGATTTTTCTGGTGCAAATTTGAAACCTGTATTTTTGCTCCAATCGTTTAGCGAGTTGGTGTATTTCTGTAATTCTTTTCCTAAAGTGTCAATACATTTGTGTCGAAAGAAAATATTGCTGTCATCCGCATATATTGTAATTTTTCCAGGGGTGGGTATAAGTTTAGATAAGTCATTTATTGCGATTAGAAATAATTTTACACTTATGGAAGAGCCTTGGGCAATTCCGTTATTCAGGTTATATAAGGATGAATGATGTCCATCAACAGCAACTTCAAATGTTCGGTCAATAAGGAAATTATGTATGAAATATAAAATGTTACCTTTAACGCCCCAGTCTAGTAAGATTGAAATAATTCGGTATCTCCATGTCATATCGTACGCTTTTTGTATATCGAAGCTTACCAGTCCCATGTATTGTTTGCATGCAATTGTTTCACATATTTCTGTATCAATGTTTACAAGGCAGTCGTAGGTCGATCTGTTTTTCCGAAATCCAAATTGTTCTTGGGCGAGAAGTTTATTTTTTTCTAGAAACCAGTTAAGTCGAACGCTGACTATTTTTTCGAATATTTTACTCATTGTGCATAGGAGCGATATAGGCCTGTATCCTTGTACTGCGAATTTATTTTGGTTAGGTTTATGAATTGGGATAATGGTAGCTTGTTTCCATTTTTTTGGGAACTTGTGTTGTGTCCACATTTTGTTAAATATTTTGAGTAATGTAATTTTTCCTATTTCGGGTAAATTTTGTATAAATATGAAGGGGATGTCATCGGGTCCACAACAGTTGCTCTTATGTTCATAAATAATGTTGTCGAGTTCTTTTCTTGTTATTGTCAAATTTAGGTTTGGTGTATCAATATGTTCAACAGTGGTTAGTTCCTTAACGTTTATATTTTGTTTTTCGATTTCAGATTTGTACTTTAAGAAATTTGGATCAAAGTTGTTATCGTCGCTTATTTCCTGAAAGTATTCACCTAGTGCGTTTGCTATTTCTAACGGTTCTGTAATAATGGATTTATTATTATTAGTTCTGAGTAATTTGATATCCGTTGATTTTTGAACTCCTTTTATTGATTTTACTTTGTTCCACACTATATTAGGATTTTCAAGGCAGGTAATTGATGACGTAAAAGAGTTCCACGAATTTGTTTTACAATTTTTTATAATGTATTTAGCTTTAGCTCTTTGTTTTTTTAGTTCAATAAGATCGATTATACTTCTGCTTTTTCTAAATTTATTTAAGGCTTTGTTTTTGATTTTAATTATGTTTTTACATTCTTCCGACCACCATGGTACGGGCTTTTTGGTTCCGCTGTATTTATTTTTTTTAATTATATTCATTCCAGTGTTATGTATTATTTCTGTAAAGATATCAACTATTTTGTCTATGCTATTATCATCCATTGGGAGGCATTTTTCAAGTTCAGATTGAATTGTATTTGAAAATAATTCCCAATTAGGTTTTTTTAAGTTCCATTTCTCTTTGGTTTTATATATTAAAGTAGAGTCTCTGTTATAGATTTTTATGATAATAGGCCAGTGGTCACTGTTATATAATTCTTGTTCCACCGTCCAATCCAGATTGGTTGATATATTTGCGGATGAAAAGGATA